TATTTATAAGGATAAAGGGATTACTAGGTATGTATACTTTAAAACAATTACATGATAGTAATTAAATATTGTAAATATTGTTCAGTTTGCAGCATATAGGATCAGATCTCTAAGGTTTTGTTGATACAAAAATCTTATTTTGTGGCATATCCGATCTTAAATCTTGTAATTAGAACAAAAGAGAAAACACAAAATCAGTAATGTTTCCACATTCCCAATCCAAGTCATATACATATGTGTTGTGAAATCCAATTCAAATTCAAATCGACAATGTGTCTCAGTCTGAACAGTTAAATCAGGTTTCAAGTAGCTTTTGTATCACTTTGTTAGTATGAGAAACAATGTACACCAGATATTGACAGCACTGTATGAATGAAAGTATTTCATCACTTGCTAAATGAACTGACCAGTCGGTCCTTATTATCAGATGTGAAACCAAATCAGCATTGTGTGCAATGTGAACAAAGCCCAAGGGAGTAGGACGTTCATGATACTTTTCTGTTCCTCAAAATTTTCTTTAGCGTATAGTTAAGAAAACAATTGTTTTATTGCAGTTTGCTTTGCAAAACCAAGCTGAGTCATTTACCTGAAGTAGCATGATGTCATTTAGCAGACGTTTAGACTCATACCCAGGGTGAATGTGGTAGAACTTCACATCCATGTGGCGAGAACTATGAGTGTAATCATGAGCTCCAACCACAACTGTCAGCTTCTCTCCTCTGTCAAGATGAGGAAGAAAACATGCATTCATGGTTTACTGGTAAATGAAGACTGTTCAAAATTTAGTTTAGCATTTTAGGCTTGACCTAAAACAATATGCATTTGAAACCATGTTAATGTATTTACATACTTTGCCATGATGCTTCTATTGCAAAGCCACAAGCTTTAGCTCATGCTCAAAGCTCAACTTTAGCTGTTAACTCTAGCTTTGGTTTAAGTTAAAGCACATTTTGTGTTCAAAAACTAATTGTTAGACTCCCTAAACTCTAAAGTTTCCAAAAGTGATGCCTTTGAAGAGCCATTTTTGGTTCCCTAAAGAACCCTTCAGTGAATAGTTCTTAAAAGAGAAATGTTTTCTTAGTATGAAGACTTTTTAATAATCTAATGAACCTTTTGTGCAATGGAAATGTTCCATATATTAAAGGTTCTTCATACATCCATCAATGCCAATAAGGATCCTTTATTTTTGAGATTTTAGGAGTCGTGGACCCATTTGTTTGCGTACTATTATAGCATGTGTCACTTCCAAAGTAGTCACACCAAGTGAAGACCCTTTTGCAGCAGTATGGGACTCTCTTTGAAAAAAAACACACACACACACTTACTCTTTAAAACAGTGCGCAGCCGTCATGACAAACTGTTCAGATACAAGGAAGCCACCGCATTTGTGTTTGTTATAACTTTGAACTGAAACCATGTAGGGTCTTGAATGAGGTTTGGCTTCTGTGCCGTTTACTATACCCACTTGCACAGATGCTAAGAAAGGAAAGAGAAAAATGAGTATAGGTTGGTTAAATGAGAAGTAGACTTTACTAAATGTTCTTTCAGATCAACTTACAGTATAGAGCAAACAGTGCATAAAATGAACATTACATTTGCATAGTTATGATAAATGTAAAAGACATAATGCAATAGAAGTCAGTTCATTCCCATTATTTCTCTACCTGGAGCAGTCAGATATGGTAGCAGGGTGACTAGCAAAAGCACGGAGATGATCATGATGCTGTTCTTGGAAGGTTTCTTTGGAGTGCTGAAGATCTCCTCAGTGTTGATGGTGGTATTTAATGCAAAATGGGCTGGTTTAGCTACCCAGTAGTGATCGTACTTCCTCTATCACACCTTGATGTGGCTTTCATTTTGCACTGAAGTGGAAAAGATAGGTCTTATGTTTGCGGTCTTAATGGGAGTAGACTATTCTCCCCCATGTATGATGTAATCCACGCCTAATGTTTCTTGTAAAATTAGACGCGAGAGAGCTGCTATGTGCTTAGAAAAACTGAATCACGGTGTCTATGTGGTTAGATCTCTAAAGGCTGATTCACACTTCACTTAGTGACACTGAAAAAGAGTAACAGACACGTTCATTGTGTTTTGTCTGATTAATGTGTTACCCCTGTTGGCTTTGGACGGCGCTTGTTTTCACCAACTGAACATGATGGATGTTGGATTGCACCAAACTAGGGCTGCACGATAAATCGCATGCGATATTTAATGCGCATCTTGTCAGAAAGCCGGTTCTGTAATCAGCGGTAAATCTCCATCACCTGCGGGCTTTCACATTGAGCAGCATTAACTACACAGAGCCGTTGTTCACTGATGAGCTGCGCAAAAAATCGCGCGAATATGAACGTGGTTTTGCGCAGCTAGTCAGTGAACAACGGCTCTGTGTAGTTAATGCTGCTCAATGTGAAAGCCCGCAGGTGATGGAGATTTACCGCTGATTACAGAACCGGCTTTTCTGACAAGATACGCGTTAAATATCGCATGCGATTTATCGTGCAGCCCTACACCAAACCGTTGGTCAGGTCTTGAAATGTCTGAGAAGTGACGTCCTGTACTTGGTTGGATCTCGGTATTGGTCTACGTCCTAACTCACACTTTTTAGTTTACTTAATGTACAACAATTTATTGATTTTAATCGTAATAATCTAGTACTATTTTAATAATAATAATAGTCTGTACTATTTGTGTACTATGCTTTTGTTACTCAGAAAACTGATTTGATTTGTATACCATTCTATCAAGTTCTAGTTCCCAGAATGCTTTGCTTCAGACTCTAGGAGTGAATGTTGAAATTAAGAGTTGTTTTATATGTCTTTGCATAAGGTTAATATAGTGAGTGATCTGTTCATTTTTAATGTTGTTATGTTTGGTTTTAAAAGGGTCTCTGTTATAGCTGCATTTTGAGGGTGTTAGCGTTGTGCTGTAGAGCAGAGCCTGTGGTTTGGTCAAAGATTGGTCTAGAAATGTTAAGACCATTCACTGCTTTATTTAAAAAGCAGTAATAATTGCCTGCCCGGTCTCATCGCAAAAACGTACCTGGGTACAAAAAGTACATATCACTGCAGTTTCCAAAAGAAATGAACACTAGAGGCAGTAAAACTCCGACACCTTTTAAATTATTTTTACACAAAGTATGATTTACAAAGTTTCGATTAATAAAGCGTAATTTTCGCACAATTACTTGAAGAGTATTATGTTGTGACTTCAAAACATTTTTAATATGCTGGGAGATTTGAAAACTGATGCTTTTGAATGTTAGCACCGCACATATCCAGCTTCATATCAATGGGTTTTCATAGACGATAGGTTTGTTCGGTAGCTCACGGAGTACGGAGACGTACTTGAGAGGTGAGGAGCTCCGGTACGAATCCCGCGTAACTACGGTTCGACAAAACAGTTCAAATCTGCATATAAGGAAGTTAAAATGGCACGGTTGCATCAAAAAATGTGTTTTTATATCAGTTTTGCATTTGTTAACACTATCAGGTAGGTTTAGGGTTGGGTTTGGTGTAGGGCATATTTCCAACACGATAGAGCATTAACTTTTAGTGACAGTCCCCGGATATTTGAATTCTGAATCGCCGCAATACGTACCTGAAGAAACGTAATAAAAACACAGCAGTATGTACCTATATCAACGTAATAAAAACGTGCCAGGCTTCACGTATTGAACCCGTGTTTTAGCGCCTCTCAGTGGACATTTCTCTTTGAAACTGCGGCGAAACGTGATAATTGCAGTTGTTGATGCAGTGGTGGTCTCTCTGGTTATGTTAGCACATGCATGTGTGCTATTGGTAGCTGGATAACTGTAGCACTTACTCAACTGGAGAAACACTTGATCTTTTTAAGTTGGTTTGGTTTTAACACATAAATCAGTTTGCTCATCAGGTTGATACAAAGTTTCCGAAAACCTTACATTAGTCAGCTCAACTTAAAGTTGAGCTGTTTGGAATAGACAAAATGAATTTGTTAAAACTAAACTAAAAAGTGTTTTATTTTACTTTTACAAGGATTTTTTTTTTTTAAAGTAAGGTCAACTAATTAGCCTTCTTCTTTATTTTTATTATTTTTTTAAATGATGAAGATTTTACATAATTTTTTTGTATTTTTTTTTTTTTTTTACAAATTAAATCCTGGAGGGTTTTCCAGGCTTATTTTATTTTGATCTGTCTGATTTTATTTTATTTTACATTTTTTCGTTAAAAACAGCCCAATTTATGATACCTTTTTGATTCCTTTACCTTTTGGTGTTGACTGGAAATTGAGTGTATTACTAAGATGGCAACTAAGTGAACTAATGTGAAATGACTTTGGACGTGTGTCCCATGTAATATGGTAATTATCTGTGGTGACAATGAGGACACTACGACTGATTGATGCAGCCCATGCAATACGTTTATTGAAAGAAGGTTTATGAAAGAATTCAAGAAAAAAAAACATTTCTTCCTTTTTTGTTTTCCATAAAGTTACTTAACATTTCTAAGGATATGGTGGATCCATGGAAGATATGCTGAAATCTTAGTATACACATTAGGATGCTCAGGTGAATTACAGAGATCAGAGTCACCAAAAGATGTGACACCAACTGCAGTTTTTCCACAAACCAAAGGACCTCCTGAATCTCCCTGTTAAGAAACACAGATCAACACAACACTAGTAAAATCAGTTCATACATTATCATAAAGTCTCTGAATCATTTTTTTTTTTTGTTCATACTTTGCAGGATCCACCACCGCCATATGCACAGATCATCTGTAAGGCGGTGTAGCTGGGTCCCCATTTACGTTGACAGTGTACGTGATTTAGTGTAGTCACGTATGCCTCCATTAGACGATCGCTCAGTGAGCCATTAGTCCACAGTCTTCCCCAGCCCGCAACACTACAGAGAGTATCCACATTGACGTCTTTGCTGTCCTTTGGCAATGATATCAGTCCAACATTGTTGTTTAGTCTGACTTTTTTATATAGCTGTAATTCAAAAACACAACCATTAATAATAAACAATCTTTTATAAGGCTGAATTTCAGTTGATTTTACTGCTGTACTTGTGGTTAGGACAGAAGCCCCAAAATCCAAGGTGAATTAAAAATGTTTTAATGTGTCTCTTAAAGTATATTTCCAGCACTTTTGATTTCCCAATTATGTTTTTTTATATTTTCAGAGGTTTTGGACATTTTTTGTTGCTACAATTGGCAACAAATAAATAATGTAGGAAATAGACTCAAAGAGGCACTTGTTGTATTCCAAAGGTTAGAAAGTAAGTCCCTTCTTGTTTTTTTTTAGCAAGAAATTGCAAAAGAAAGTCATACAGAATGTTATTCAAAATATGTTTCCTGACCAGATATTGTTTGAACAAGTAGTATGATGTGTACCATCAAAAGCATGATGTCATTCCGCAAAGAACTGATTATGTAGCCTGGATGCGGGATGTAGAACTTCACTCTGATGCGATCCAAAATCTTACTATTGCTTAAGTCATGAGCACCAACAACAACCGTCAGAATCGCATATCTGTTGAAAGAGTGTATTGGAAAAAAAATGTATGAAGTCATTATGCTTATTTATGACATATGATGCATTGTATTGTTGCACTGCAGGTGTTTTGTCTGTCAAAAGTGATTTTTAACTTAATGTTTCAGTTAAAAGTAATCAAAACTTTTACCCGTTCCAGCAATGTGCAGCAGTCAAGACCCACTGATCAGAAATGAGGAATCCGCCACAGTCGTGTTGCCCAGAAATCTGAATAGAAACCATGTAAGGTCTGGAGTGGGGTTTTGCTTCCCTGCCGTTCACTATACCCACATTCACATGAGCTGAGAGCAAGAGAGTGCTGTTAGTTCTAATTTTCAGCAGATTAATCAATTCAGTACTTTGGTCAGTCTCACCAGTGAAGGTCAGGTGTGACAGCAGAGAGGCCAGCAGGAGCAGAGAGATGATGGTCATCATGAAGACGATCAGTGAGCTCTCACTGACAAAACACTGTATGAATATAGTTTGAAGGGGGCGGAGACACTGAGCTGCCTGACCTAAAAAAAATCTTGTGGCATGAGCAAGACTTGTTCTTGTTAATCCTTGCGGTCTTAAATTTAAGCCACAGAGGTTTCGGACAAGAATAAAGCATGTACTATGAGCATGAAAATTAATGATGAAAATGTGCTTTGCACCTTAAAACTCACAGATAAAATAGAAGGCGATGAGAAAACATGAAGTTCATCAAAATTGGCTTTTCATGAACACCAAACATGTAACATTATATTCATATATAGGCAAGGCAAGTTTATTTATATAGCACATTTCGTACACAATGGTAATTCAAAGTGCTTTACATAAAAGAAAGTAAAATAATCATAAAAATAAAGAAAAAAATAATCACAAAAATAAAACAAGGAATTTAAAAACTTTGAAAATGATTTAAAAATTGATTTAAAATGAATTTAAGACAGTTAAAAATGATCTCTTCTGGAAGCTGATTCCAACTGCGGGCGGCATAATAACTAAAAGCAGACTCCCCTTGTTTTGTGTGAACCCTTGGTATTTCTAACTGACTCGATCCTAATGATCTGAGTGGTCTGTTAGGTTTATATTCAGTGCACATATCTGCTATGTATTTAGGTCCTAGGCCATTGAGTGATTTATAAACGAGTAAAAGTACTTTAAAATCAATCCTAAATATAACTGGAAGCCAGTGTAAGGACCTGAGGACTGGTGTGATATGCTCAGATTTTCTGGTTCTTGTCAGAATTCTGGCAGCAGCGTTCTGGATGAGCTGCAGCTGTCTAATGGTCTTCTTGGGAAGGCCGGTGAGGAGACCATTACAATAGTCCACCCTGCTGGTGATAAAGGCATGAACAAGTTTCTCCAAGTCTTGACTGGAAACAAAACATCTAATTCTTGCAATTTTTTTGAGATGACAGTATGCTGATTTAGTTACTGCTTTGACATGACTACTAAAACTAAGGTCTGTCTCCAGAATTACACCAAGATTCTTGACTTGATTTTTAGTTGTTTGACCCCTAGAGTCAAGGTATGCATTCACCTTGAGAACTTCAACTTTGTTTCCAAATGCAAAGACTTCAGTTTTCTCGTTGTTTAACTGAAGAAAATGTTGGCACAACCAACTGTTAATTTCATCCATGCATTGGCAGAGGGAGTCAATGGGGCT